TCAAAAAAAAAAAATTTTTTTTTTTTTTTTTTTTTTTTTTTTTTTTTTTTTTTTTTTTTTGATTGCAAGAGAATCCCACATGCTGGCCAGAGACGGAGAGGGAGGGCGAGGGACAAAGCACCCCCTACTGGGTATGGTCGCAGCACAGTCCACTCAGAATTTCTCCATCCCATCAGGATTTTGAGCACATACATACACATGAACCCAGAATGTTTTTCAAGCCACAGGGGCTGGGACCCAAATCATGGTTGGCCACGTGGGGATCTAGCTCCTTAACCACTAGACTACAGGGCTGGCTTCCCAAACTTTTTGAATTTAAGTGTAGTTTTTCCATAATTATTTCTAGTTTTACAGGTTTTTTACTTAAGGCATGCGTGCTCGCTGGAGAGAGAGAGACAAGAGGGAAAGTGAGAAATCACTCCTTGAGGGGACGGCCATGCTGCAATGCCTTCTCTATTCTCCTCATGGGATTTTGGGCACGCGCACACACACACGTGCCCAGGTTGAGTTTCAGGCCACCAGGTCTGGGACTCCAATCATAGCTCTGTGAGAGTCCAGCGATGTAACTGCTATGCCATCTGCTGGCCCCCATAATTATTTTCACTGAGCTTTCTGAAAACTCCTTGTAGGGCACATTTAATCATCACAGCCCACGTTGTGGGGGAAAAAAAAACATTTTGTAGACAAGCGAAAGTGAGGCTCAAAGAGACGTCACTTGGGTTGAGTACACAGCCCACAGGTGCAGACGGACTTGCACTCAGCTCGCTCTAGTTCTCCAGTAACCACCAGTGTTGTGGAGGGAACATTCTGCAATTTAGAACCCCCCACGCACACACCAACGGCCCCTTCTCCAGCTCTGAGGACTCAGGGACACTCGGGATGCCCCCCACATACACACCAACAGCCCCTTCCACTTTCCCACACACACGGACAGACTCAGGTGTGGCTGCAAGGCCGACTTATTTAATCTCGTGTCGCCGCCACACAGTGAGCGGTGACCACAGAGGGGAGAGGGCTGTCCACCTCACTCCTGTTTCTGGGTGCTACCGCCGCTGCTGTCTCTCCACCAGGATTCTCCACTCTCTTCCTACAGACGTGCTGGGTTGCCGGCCCCTGGGTTCACAGTAAGGGCTGCAGGCGCAACTAGGGTGGGTCTCGTGAGGCAAGGTAGGCGGCCAGGGTCACCAGGGCGGCTGCGTATGTGCACACACCCAGCCCGACAGCGAGGACCCCCAGCAAGAAGGCTCGGCGGGAGGCGGCCCCTGCCCCCTGGACGTCCCCCTTGGCCCAAGCCTTGTCGGTCTGTAGAGGCAGTGGGCAGTTGTGACCCAGGCAGCCCCTCACCTCCACCCTGCCTCCCACACCCAACATACCCATTCATTCATTCACATAGTCCAGAAACCCATGGAGCATATACTAGGGGCATCTGGGCACTGGGGCTGCCGGGCGACTAATAAAGACATACCTATGTTGTCATCTGCCACTGTCCTAACTCATACAAGTCTCACCATGGCCCTGAGGTGGGAGCGAGTGCCGTTTTACAGATGAGGAAAATGAGGTGCAAAGAAACTAAATGGCTTCTCCAGCGACTTCCAGCTAATGATAGACTTGGGATGTGAGTTCAGCCTCGTAACTACCACCCTGGGCTGCCTTCCATGGAGCATGCCTCGTTTCACCCCTGGCTGCGTGGTTCCTTCTCTCCAGCCCTTCACCCTCGGGCACAGCTTCTCTTGAGTTTGGGTTTTCATTTTAGGTTTTTTGGTGCATTTCTCTTTTTTATGCCCAGACCCCTCCCAGTTCCACACATGAACTGACCTTCTGGGCCAGACAAAAGGCAGCAATGCCCACGGGCCAGAAACAACACAGCATGGAGAAGACAGCCAAGCCGAGGTGGTCGTGGGGTAGAAGTGGTGAGAGCCGGTCGCCCCCATCCCAGTCCGAGTCACTGTCACTGGAAGACTCATCCTAGGGAGGGAACCAGCAGTTAGCATAATGGCTATGTCGCTGGACTCCCACGTAGTCGACCGCGGTTCGTGTCCCGGACCTGGTGGCTTAAAACTCACGCCGGGCGCGTGTGCGTGCGTGCCCAAGATCCCGAGAGGAGAATGGAGGAGAAGGGATTGCGGCGTGACCATCCCCCCTGGGGGGGTGATTTCTCGCTTTCTGTCTCTATGTCTCTCTCTGTCTGTCTGGCGAGCGCACGCGCCCTACAGTGAAAATCTCTCTCAAAAAAAAAAAAAAAAAGACTCATCCTAGGGACAGGAGAGGGCCTGGGTGGGCATCTCCACCCACATTGCCTACCCACCCACTGCTCTGCTGTCCACAGCCCTCAAAGACCAAAGGGCCCCCAAAGCCTCCCCAGGGCCCCCAGAGACACAGAGGAAAATGTTCAGAGACAGACTTTTGACTTTTCTGCATCCTGAATCCCTTTGAGGGAAACCTGTGGACCTGTCCCCAGAGAGAAGCCTCTGCCATACCCAAGGTTTTGAGTTCATTCTCAAGGGGTTCACAGGTTGAACCACAGTCATCATAATTGCTTAAAATCTCTGAATTAAAAGCCCCTGAAGTGGGGGCTGGCATGCGGCATGGTGGTTAAAGGTGCTGGATTTTCACGTGTTCGACTGAGTTCAAGTCCCAGACCTGCAGG